CACTTAGTATTATGGATTTCATGTAGATACTCTTTCCCAGTTTGCTTCTGGGAGATGAAATGCATAAGATAGATACTTAAATAAACCTAATAAAAAATAAGGATGTAATTAAGTTAAATACAGAGTACTGTATGATCTTTAAAGCGAAATAAGGTCTTCTCTAAGGTGCTAGTAATTCTGTGCTATATTAAAAGGAAATATAATTGTAGGCTTCCTAACACAGTTGCAGCTTGAATGCTACTCTACTGTAGGGCAAGCCCTATCCATAGAGACTAAGAAGCTACCCATTTTGTATGGAGCGAAGCCTCAGGTTTCTTCTGATCTTTCTGGAAAGAGCTATAGTGTATTTTTTAAGTCTCTTTCCACTTCCCACATAGACAAGCTCAATGTTGAGAATACTTATTATATCTGGATTATCTAATTGGCTGTAAAGTACTTCGTCTGGCCTATATAGAGACCAACACTCTCTTTTAATCAGCAAACACATCATGAGGTAGAAGAGAGTCAAGGTGTCAAATATATGGTGATGGAAGGAGAACTGACTGTGGGTGATGAACATACAATGTGATATAATAATGATGTATTTTAGAATTGTACACTTGAAACCTATGTAATTTTACTAACCATTGTCACCCCAATAAATTAAAAAAAAAGTAAAAATAGTCCTGTGTTAGATATGTCATATTAGAAAAGACAAATTTTAACATTAGTAAGATCTGTGTTGATATAAGATCTTGGAAATCTTTTTATTTGTTCTTTGAAAATCTCATCTGCTATGTATAAACGAAATGAAGTTATTCAGTATGGTGGTTTTACAATGTACAAAGGGGTAATAAGTGATATTTTGTAAAACTGTAAATTGAACTCACTGAATTAGTGGACAGTATTTAAGATACTAATAATCTAGGATCTAAAAAATGCATTAAAAACTTTAAAATAGGGAATGAAGTTCCCAGAAATGGCAAAAGCTGATGAAATGATGTATATCACAACTAAAGAGTTACAAAAAAACAGAATAAAAACCCCTAAAACATGGTAAGAATAACATATTTGCAAGATGTATATATATACATTTGCCCACGAAGACCCTGGGAGAAAAGTTAGTGGTGACTGCAGTGAGTGAGTGTGAGTTTCTTATGACCCTGGATGGTGCATCCTGCACACACACACTGCACTGCACCTCAGAAGACAGGGCTTGAATGTGAAATTGATTTTAACTCAAACATTAGTGATTATATTTAAATGGAGGAAGAGTAAACCTATTTTTGTGACATTTTACCATAATGCTATATGGTATTTCATAAAATATTTGGACTTAAGAACTTTTCTGAGAACAAGAGAGAGAGAGATTTCTGGGCCTACTACTTCATAGGTATATGCTATTCCTCCAGTCAAATGGCAAAAATTTAGAGCCCTGAGGTACAACCAAAAAATGTGTGTAATTAAAAAAATAATTTTAGCTACAGTTGTTACTTGGGATCACTTAACTTAAAATTCATATACACAAATTGAATGATAAGTTTCCACCCACACTTTACCACATACATTTCAAGACTATGAACACTAGTTATCATTTGCCTGAAAATATTGGTAATCATGAAATCTGAAGTTCAAGCCAAATGCTTGAGGATAATCTGTGTGTGTGATTTACTTTAAAATGTTAACATGTCTGATGTTTCAAAACCTGTCCCACCTGTTGCTACCCATTTAAATAAAAGGTAAGACTTCAGAAGGCCAAGACATTCATCATACTGGGAAAAAATAAAGGATTTCAGAGAACATGACTTTTTAGCCACTTGCATTTTTTCATCTTTCATATACATAATTGGTTAAGAAAGAAGTGATTTCAACTTATTTTATTCCATTTTAGAGTAGTCTTGAGTTTTTGAGAAGCCTTTAGGGGTTAAGAACACAGATTCTTGAGTCAGAATGTTTAGGCTCAAAATCTGGGGTCCTCCGATTATTTGTGGTAGATGATAGGGAGTTATTTAACCTCTCTTGCCTCACTTTCATCATCTACAATAGGGAAGGGCAAAGTTTTTACGTAAAGCGCCAGACAGTAAATAACTTTAGGCTTTGTGGGCTGCCTACAGTATCTATTGCTTTTTTTTTTTTTAATGATTCTTTAAAAATGTAAAATCATTATTAGCTTAAGGGCCATATAAAAACAGACTGGCAGTTCCCTGACCCCGGATCTGTATAACAGAGATAATAATGTTATCTACCTTATAAGGTTGTTACGAGGATTAAATATAGGCAAACCTTGGGGATACTGAGGTTCGGTTCCAGACCACCGCAATACTGTGAGCCATAATCCTTTTGCTGTGGAGGGTCTTGCCTTCTGTTTGTAAAACATGCAATATCTCTGAAAGGCAATAAAGCGAAGAATAAAAGAAGGTATGCCTATATATGTAAAGCGCTTAAAAAGTGCTTGACACATATTAAGAGCCATACAAATATTTATTATTACTACTATATTTCTAACCTAATTTTATTCTCAAAATACCTACTATTCCTGTATGACCTTCTAGCATTGCTTGGTGACTTCTTTCTTGGTTTATTCTAAATCACCAGAAAAAAGTTAAATACTAAATGTTGATGAAGGCTCCAAGTGTGGCATTAAAATCGAGTGATCAAAAGAAAGAGTAATTAATGGTCCTGAGGCAGCCCCTTGCAAACCCTGGCAGGATCATCCTTAATGAGATTTATTCAGGTAACATGAAAATGAATGTTACCTGAAACAGTCAATTAAATATAATAACCATTTCTCAATCATTATAATATTTCTCTCCAGCCACAGAAATAAACAAACCTATTTGAACATTCATTTAAATGAACTTTTTTTCTTTTAAAGATTTTATTGGGGAATTGGGGGAGGGGAACAGCATTGGAAAATTGGGGAAGGGGAACAGACAGGTTGCTGTCCTTTTGTTCTTCAGTCTAGTTGTGGAGGATGTTGCTTCACTGGCCCATGTTGGTATTATCACTGCGCTCTTCCCAAGAGAGGCAGTCACTTGCCGGCCATTGGACGGCCAGCCGCTCACGGTGGCTTGGCAGCTCACGAAAGCGCACACCAGCTGTGGGCCACCCCCACTGCAGCCTACGCCATCGCTGGTGACTCACAGCAGCCCAGCTCCAGGTCAAGCTGTTGTTCACCATCTTAGCTATAGAGGGTGCAGCGTCACTGGCCCTCATGTGGGATCCGAACTGGGGCCCTGCTGCTCAGAGCTGGCGTCCCAAGCCAAATCCTAACCAACGCGCCACTAGGCCGGCCCTTAAGTGAACTTTTAATATCAGTCTTTATTTTTTAAGAAGAAGAGAGAATAATCAGAAAGCAGAAAATATGCAACCAAGTCATTTAAAATGCTATAATGTTTTAAAAAGGTAAGATGTATCTGCCTTTTTGCAAGAGTAACTACATATATTTATGGAATCACAATGTAGTGTGCCAAAAATACCAAAGGAAAAAAATAACTTAAGCAATCAGGAGACAATTCATAATTTTTAGCTGACAACCTATAAATGAAAAACAAATATACAAAACTCAGGCCTTTTGTGATTTACAAAACACAGGCCGAACAGGGCCACATATAAATATTTAAATGCAAAACATACAATAGGATAAGTTGGGAACAATTTATGAGGTATTTTGAAATGCAGAGCTTAATGAATTAAACTTTGTAACACAGTCATGTCTAAACATGAAAAAACACATGCTTGAGCTTTAATGCAATCAATTTAATTGCGTATGTTAAATGCACATGCAATAACAGCTCACACACTTGTGACTACTGCTGCCCAAGATGCCTCTACGGAATCTTTATGTGAAAGTGTAGAGTAAGAATGGATGTTTACAGACTACAAACTAGATTCAGAGATTATGAAAACAAAGGAGAAAGTATTCTTACTTCTAAATATAAATAGGGTTGAATTACCTTAGTTTGTGGAATGCTGATTAATTTAGTATCAATATAGTTTTAAGTTATTTTCTTTCAGTCATTTATGCACAGTTTAAAATTTGAAGTGTTAATACACTTAAAACAAGCAAAAAGAAAAAAACACACAGTAGTCCATTATCCCTGATCTGCCCCCAAACCATCCTGGTCTCCCTGCCCAGTGACAGCCTTTTCAATCCTTTTAGCTAGTCTTATTTCTAATACAATTGTCTCTTGAATCATCCATTTTAAACAGATTGTTTGGCTCTGAATCCCAGCACTACCATTTACTACTAGCTCTATGACCTTCAGCAAATTACTTAACTTTTTTAGGCCTCAGTATTCTTTTGTCTATAAAACAAATAGAACCTACCACATAAGGTTATTGTAAGAATTAAATGATATAAAATCACACATGTGTAATAATATCTTGCTCAAAATATAGTAATCATATGATCATTATTGTTGCCATGTTAAATGAGGATTTGAATTCTCTTAAACACCCCTTTTCTCCATCCTGTTATAATAGTTACAGCAAACCAGTTTTTTGTTAAATTTTTCATCATGTCCTTTTTATATTTAAGTCAACTCTAGATTAATGAGGATCTCACTTTTTATTCTCATCAAAACAATTTATGAGAGGCTGTCCAGCTAGCTTAAAATGCTGGACTAGTGTGGATAACTTTGAATTTGCCAAATTCCAAATCACTGGGATTTCGTGACTATGGGAAACTGGATTGCACTTTTACTGTAGTTTTAAAATTACTTTATTCAAAATTTTAAAACATATCACTACTGCAGTTACTATAACACATCTTTATTACTCACTTACCTTTTGCCTTCTGTTTTTATCATTTTCACAGCTAAGGATGTTTAAGATGTTACACATTATATATTACAATTTCCTTTATATGCAGTGTTTTTTATAATTGACATTGCTCCATACACTGTTTCCCAGTGATTACCTTAAAATCAGAGCTTCTATTTAGAGTTAACAATTATAAGTGGTCTCTAATTAAGTTGTGAGAATAACAATTTGCATACAGTAGATACCTGAGATATGTCTAAAATTCTAAAGAACATTTATTAGCAGTTTATGTTCAGAAAAAACATAGTTTGGTGAGTCACAATCTATTTTAGCAAATTACTATCTAAAAGAAAGCATTTTAAAGGAAGAAATTAGTTATAATTATTGAAGAATCACACATTAATTCATTTTTATACCGCTTAATCTTAGGCAATATTTTCGTACAGCCAATGAAATAAAATTAAACATAATACATGAAAAGGTCCTCAAATTCTCCCTCATTAAATTTTAAGTTCTCTGAGGATAAGGAATATGTCTTATTTACTTCTATCATCATTATGTAGGATAATGGCAGATTATTATATAGAGATGTTCAATACATACTCACTGGATAAATAAATTCAGTGTAACTTGGTCTCAGATAATTTACAAATGCTTGACAGCAAAACACCAAATAAGATATTAACATAGCATTCATCTTTTCAGCATAAAGCACACTAGTTGGTATATTACATTTTATGTTTTATTGATGGTGACATATAGTAAAAATCTACTATACATTAATTATTCATGGTCCATTGTAAGTTCTTTTACACAAGCACAATCATACTACAAAGTCATACCATAAACTAAGTTTTTATAAGACAATTTAGAAAATAAAATACATTAAAGATATAATTCATGATGAGATATTGAGATGGATTTTAAATCTGACTTTAGACATTCTCATTACAATCAAATGTAGACCTTTACCAAGAAGTTAATTCGGGGGAGCCCTTCTAAGGATTTAGTTTTCATATAATTTTTTTTTCAGTTTTCATCTAATTAATGGCCAGATTAGCATACCTGAAGTCCTATGTTCTTATAAAGCTCATTTAGAGTCCATAAATGCAAGCAGAATATTATAAAGTATTCTTAGATGCACAAATATCTTTAAAAAAATTTACAGTATTCACTTTGCCTTAAGATATATTCCATGAGTTGACAACTGTTGAGGTTTCCAAACACTATTTCTTCACGTCTTTACAGCCTGGATTTGATCTAATAAAAAACAAACAAGAAATTATCAGTCTCTACAGCGCAAAATCTATTTTTCTAACGTAACCCGAGACAAATTTGTAACATGGTAGAAACACATATACATACTTATTATTTAAAGCACAATCAACACTATAGATTTTATTTTCGTCAAAGCTATACACACACAGTCAGTCAACTAGTTCTACAAGGTCTGTATAAAAACCAGCAGCCCCGTGCCTCATCTCTTTCTCCTTTCATAAGCAACTACTCCAACTCCCTTTTCGGTGATTACCTGTCTCTCTAATATACTTTTGTTACTTGTTGAAGTATCAGTTCCTTCCATTTAATATGAGGCTTCTGCTCTCACACACTCCTAAGCTGGTCTCTGCAACCCTCATAATGCTTCCAATACTCCCATTCTCCTAACATAGTAAGTAATAGTCACTATCAGTATGACAACTCCGTAATGCTACCCACCGGTGAGACAGGTGGTACGCCCGTTACTTTTCCTGTCTTCAACTACATTTTGTTTTCCCTGGAGTTAATAATTTCTCCTCATGCCTGACCCTGCCTTAGCTTTTTTTTTTTTTTAATGTACTTAATACTACCTCAATACCACTACTTCCACACTGTTTTCTTCTTTTTTTGTTTGCGCTGTCCATTGTAGAGTTTTTATTTCACACTGGTTTTATTTCTGTCCTCACACTTTCCTCTCAAGAGGTCAAAAGTAACTCCCATTTCTTTCAGTTTTTTAAAAGGTTTTTATTAAAATATAGCTAACATACAATTTATATTAGTTTCAGGTGTCACTCCCATACTATTTAAACCTTTATTTTTATGAAGCACATTACACAGTCTATCAATTTCACTTTCTTAAAGAACTCTCCACTAGTCTTCCAAAACTCTCTAATCTGGACCAGTTGTTCTCTATGCTTGCTCAGTCACTTTCATATGAGATCTTTCACTATCATTCTGGGATCTCCGTATCATCCTGGGGATTCCTGCCCCCACCCTCTTGTGCTGGTTTTCCTGTTTCATGACCCCTTATTTTTTCTTGTTTGTTTATTTATTTATTGGTCCCACCCACTTAAGAAAGAAACCATCACACACATTCGAATTTATTTTTTCCTTGTTTTTAGCAAATGACAATGACCCAGTTTACCAGCTTTCCTTTTTAAACTTAAGGCTAACATTACATATTTAAACAATTGTCAAAACTTACTAAGTTGCCAGCAATTCATGAACAACTAGAAAACATCCTCAATTTATATTAAGTCAGAAATGTATTACCATTAATATATTAATATCTTTCACTACTAAATACTAAAAAAAAAAATCGAAATTATTTTTTTGTAAGATTCATCCTGGCAATGTTAACTTCACAGCAGGTATCTGACACTACTTGGCTCATGTTTCAAACACAAAATAAAAGCAGGTCCGTGTTTGTGTATGAGTCACGGCCACCTTAGTTTAATACAAAAGCACAGTGCATAGATTCACAATAATGTTAAAGACAAAAAAGAAAAAAGGTCCTATCATATGATCCCAGCAATAAATTCAAAAGTCTATGACAAATAGGGCTTGAATGAGCTGTGATAAGTACTTTAGGTAAGTTATAATGAAAGTCAAGTTTGTTTGAAATCTTCAAAAAAAATTCGTTAATCCTCAAACAGTGCATGTTACAGTTAACATCTCTGTTACGAGCAGGGGTTCAAATGCCATTCAAGCATAGCAGCTGCTGCTTACCATTTACCGTTAAGGACTTTAAGTGGCCATTTTCTTCAACTACTACTCTTTCTTGACCATTCTCGATAACTTTGTATTGAAAGAAGAAAATTCTCCTCCCAAAGACGCAAGGCAGAGAAGAACCACCCTGTGCCTAGGCTCCCGCTTTCTCAAGGGCCCCTCTGATTCCCAAATAAAGTCGTTAAATGGGTCATCAAAGTAGGAGAATGAAAACAGACCCGTTCCAGCAAAAACTTCCCTGAAGACGTCATCTGGGTTCCAGAACGCGAAGCCAAACTCAAATGGACTTTCAAAACGACTTCTGCCTCCATCATTTAATCCTTCTTTGTCATATTTGTCATAGATGTCCCGTTTTTTAGCATCTGATAGAACCTCATACACCTCGGCTAATGGAATTTCCTGTTTCTCCTTGATTCTCAGGATTTTTATTTGGATGTCACTTCAGTGCATTTCCGGTATGCCTTTTTAATATCCCTGGCTGAGGCATGTCTGCATGCCTAGAACTTCGTAGGAATCCACCATGTTTTAGCAGGATATTGGACGGAGGCCGAGGGACCAGCAGTGGGAAGGCGGCCGGATCTCCTGTGCTCTTGCTTGGTGGTGCTAGTGACTGCGGCGGTGACTCCTTGCGCTTTCCTTTCTCCAACAACCTATTCCCTTATTTTTGAGAAGTACACCTCTACGTGGATACCTTAGCAAAAGGTATAGAAAATAAATTCTTGAGACTTTATATGGCTGAAGATGTCAGGTTTTTTTTTTAGATTTTTTTCTTTGGGGAATAAGGGGAGGGAAACAGCGCTGGGGAATCAGGGAAGGGAAACAAACAAGTTGCTGTCCTTTTGTTCTTCAGTCTAGTTGTGGACGTTGCTTCACTGGCCCATGTTGGTATCATCAATGCGCTCTTCCGGGCTGAGACAGTCCCTCGCATGCCATTGGATGGCAGCTCACGCCGGCTGCCACCAGCCACTCAGGGCGGCCCAGCTCCAGGTTGAGCTGTTGTTCACCATCTTAACTGTAGAGGGCACAGCATCACTGGCCCTCATGTGGTATCCAAACCGAGGCCCTGCTGCTCAGAGCTGATGTCCCAAGCCAACTCTTAACCAATGAGCCACTCGGCCGGTCCTGAAGATATCTAAATTCTAGTCACAATACATTGACACTGCGTGAGAATATAATTCTGTTATTTTGTCTTTGGACTCTTCTAGGCATCGCCCAATCTTCTTACAGTTTTCAAGTGGTGCTGTTGATAAGTCAGATGTTATTCTGTTCCCTAATTCTTCACATGAAACCTCTTATTTTCTTCCCAGGAAGCTTGAAGAATATTCAACTGTCTTCAGTGTTGAATTTTAATAATCACGTGACTTGGTGGGAATATTTTCATCCACTACATTGGGCTCTCAAGTGGCCTTTCAACTAAAAATTCATCCTTCTGTTCTGGAAAATACTGTTTGATGATTTGATGATTTTCTCTCCTCTATTTCTCTGCTCTCTTTCTGATATTTCTTTTATTTGGATAGTGGGCCTCTTAAATATGACCCCTTACTTTTTCTTTCCAATAGTGTCTTCTGGGAGAAGTAGGAGAAGGCAGAAGAGGGTTATAATACTTGATATCAAAACTCAGTTACTCCTCCTTTTTAGCTCAATGCCAACCACACATGTGTGCTTGACTCTGCAGAGAATGAACCTTTAATCTACTTTTTGGGCAAGAATGTATAACTGTGTCTTCTCTTTTCAGCCTCATCTCATCCTTATTTCCAAATTCCATCAATATATGAGTCTTTGAGGGGATCTGCAATGTAAATTAGAATGCTTTCCAGCTTTCCCCAGTGCTAGCTTAGAATTCAGCTTTCTCTTTTAAAAGAAAAGGTCTTTAAGTCTGTTGAGTCATTCAAAGTTCATCAAATCTGTTAAATCATTCAACAGTCATCAGACACCTAGCTTCTGGTTGGCATTTTTGTCACTCCCATTCTTTTTGCCCTTGTGGGTTAATGTCTTTAAGCAAAAGTCTTTTTATTGTTAATTTGAGGAGGGGAATGAAACTGTGTGTCCAGTCATCTATCTTTCATTGGAACACCCATCCGCATAGTTTGTAAGTTTATAAAACCTGAAAGCATTATTAGCTTTTCCCATAAAGTGATAGAATGAATAAGTTTCATTAGTCATGGGGGAGAATTTCTTTTTATAAATCTATCACTATTATAAATATAAACAATTTACACCTCCGTAATGGTTTCTGTATATGAGTATTCTCTGTTGGTTTTAGAAAATACTTCATAGTCTACTCAAGAACAGGGGTTCTTTTTCTTTGGGCTGTAATACATAGGTAATTATTGGGAATCCTTCCAAAAGAGAACGGAATCATGGCACAAAATGTGTCATTTAATATTTTACCCCAAACTTTTAAACTTTAAACTTAAAATAATAAGATTAAATTGGTCCCAAAGCCCTCTTTATCATGCTAGGAAATTCCAGGATTCTGGAAGCAAAACAAAGAGATACAAGTTCAGAACATCTTTCACAGTTAGAGTTCCAAAAAAAAACTTTGGCTAATAAGTTAGTTATAGGCACAGACTAGTCTGCTATGTACTGCTACCTATTTTGTAAAATAGATTTTTACCTCTTTTCAAATCCAAACACACAGGGGCATCAAAATGTAAACTATTTACTATTACACAGGAAATATGAACAAAGAATCTCCTATTCAAAACCAAACTGAAACACTTTATTATCTATGTACTAAGTTTCCTTCTCTGTTAAATAGAGCAGTTAGGTAAAAGGGTAAATTTAACATTTATTAAGTGCTTTCTTATACTAGGTACTTTAACACATACAGGGTTTCATTTAATCTACAATTTTTGACATTTTATTTTTAATTTTACAGATGAATAAAATTATCTTCACAAGGTAATAATAAATTTTACTTAATAATAAGTAGTGGAATGAATCTGCTAGGCTCAAAACCGCAAGTGCTGTTTAACCACTACTCCATGCTGCTTACATAAAATGGGGATACTGTGCTTACCTTCTGGCAGAGAACTTTGTAAAGGTTACGTAAAATACTATGGCAACACAAGGGCATAGAAACATTTCCAATAATGTACCCTCCTTACAAAGACTCGGGAGGTAAGATGCAAAGAATGGAGAGGAAAAGTCAAAGACTCAAAAATTAGGTGACAAGACCAGAGTTGCCAAGTGGCACTGCTGTGAAGTTGGATTATTACTGACACCTAGTGGCCTCACTGTTACAGATGAAATAAAACACAAACAAAAGAGGAAAAGAGAGGTACAATTTCAAATCCAGGTAACTATCAACCTATATTCATTAAGTCCTGTGCTTTGAATTACTTTATTATGAGCAATAGTAGGGTTTCCATCCGTGCTATATCTTCATCATAAACAAGCACTTTCAAAACAAAAAATAAGCACTTTCAAAACAAAAAATCAAGGCTGAAAATATTTCTGGTGTCTTCTCTGGAATGTTCCTCTGTAACCAATGTTTTATGTGGGAATCAGTCCCTTAACTTTGACCACTTCTTTACCAGAGTCTAAGAAACTAAGTTGGTGTGTTCACAGAAAAATTCCAGTAGTTCTGAGAACCACTAGAGGTTCTCAATTAAGTTTCATTCAATTGTAAAATATGAATGTTCTTTAAAGTTTAATGGTAAGTGTCATGTCATGATGACTACATTAATACAAAAGAAAAAAAATACAAGTCTGTGAAGTAAACTAAAATATCATATTTTACTAATAACATAAAAATATTTCACATGCACATGTACTACTTTAAACCGAAGAAATAGTGTGTCCTTGTACGGGCAAGCAGGCTACTCTTAGATCCACCATTACATGCAAAGAACAAACAAGAATCACACATAACTGACATTAAAAGATGAGTGTAGAAAAAGTTACATTGACAGCCAATAGACTAAAACTTGAATTTAGAATATCTTGTTATTCACCCTTGTTCAGGGCAGGGAGACTCTTAATAGGAATGATCCTCAGTTGTTCTGCTCACAAATGGAAGTTTTTTGGCCTGATCCTCAAGGTCCTGTAGTAAGAACCTATAGAGCTCCATTTCATTCACAGCTACTGCTCTGTGTGGGTGGGTCACTGTGTTTCAAGCCATTCCTGTGGCTAGTAGATAATATAAACATAGGGAAAATGATGTATTTATTCCCTGATATAGTAACCAACCCTGCACCAACCTATGATAGTTTTGATGAATAATAAATAGAACCACAATACAAAAAAATATCAATAGAATACCAGTATTTACAATACTAAATATGAGTGTTAAAAGTTGTATAAACATGTTATGTATAAATGGAGATATATATGAAATACAGCGTGATTCTTAAAATATATGCCATACAGACTTAATTTTTGGCTATTGACAGTAAGGCCTAAAATTTGTCCCAAACTTCAAATGTGCTTCTATTACTAGATCTGATAGAAATTTTTTGCTGTAAATTAAAAATATTCTCTACAGTTATCATGTATATTGACTGCAAAAATGCAAACATTTAAATAAATCCTTTAGAAAAATATAATGAGTAGATGGAGCAAGGTATTAGATACTTACTGTAAGGTTTTTTCTGAAAGCAGAAACAAATGAAAACAAGAAGGAAAAAAGCAATGATATAATAAAAATAAAATGATAAAAAAAGGAAAGAAACCTGTGAATGGAAAGAAAATAAAGATTGAAGATACACAGTATTTTGTGATGTACCTTGAAGCCAGTCTACGCCTTCTTGCAATCCTTCTCCTTTTATGGCATCACTAGCACTGAAATGAAATCCACAAGAAACATACCCATTTCATTACATCATAGAACTATAAGAATAAATAATTACAATTTTGCCATATGGCAATAATATATTCTAGTAGCATATATGGGCAAAACTAGTTAAGCACTGAAATTGAATATACATTGGAAACCAAAGTCTTGAGTGTTCAGGAGCAAGACTTGAGAAAAATATATCTGCATTTTATTTGTATTGACATAATTTGAATGACATTTGGAAAAGCATATCACTAAAAAGTTATTCTGGGACTATTATTCCGACTGACATTAACAAAACATACACTTTGAGTTATTTTTCTAGTGGTGGAACAGTTTTATAGAGTCCACCATCCTATTTTGCCCAGCCCCAAGGAATCTGTTGAGCAATAGATTAGAAATGTTTGACTTAATTTGTAATTTAGCCATAGAATAGAGTGACTTTATTTGAAAAGGGATTGATATCTATGGGGTATAAACCTGTAGTAACTTTGGTAAACTGGTAGAATAAAAAAACCCTAGTAGTTTTCAATACTATTGGGTTGTTGGAAAAGTCATGACGTATTTTTTTCTATGTTTTTCGTTGCAAAAATGAGTCATGACTTTTCTGACAACCCAATAGTTCTATATTTATTGCCTTCAGGAACCTGGAAAGGTTATTTTAACTCTGTCTTTAGTTTTGGCATCTGTAAAATGGGGGAATATTACCTTTGACCTCATATGGTTATTATGAGAATTAAATAATTGAGATATGTATATAAAACACCTAAATCAGGGTCTTTTCATGGTCTTTCTATTCTTAAGAGAATAAACTTAGATCGTCATGGTAATATTATTTTATAATCATAATTAAATTATATAAACTAAAATAATAAAATGCAAAGGATGTTTAGAGTATCAAATAATTTTTTCCAAGACCCAGACTAATAGTTTCTCATAACATGTTACTGATTTAGTGAATGCTTTTCAAAATATAATCATATAATAGTAATTAGTGTAATTAGATTTTCTGAATTAGGATTCCTTTTAGTGTGCTGAAGCATGATTTAAAATGTACTAAATTACCTAAACCAGTTAATTTGATTCTAATCAAAACAAAAATTACTTCCAAGGAATTACTTATTAGACTAAGAACATGACTTATAATATTTTAAAATAGAAAGAAAAATAATCAGCAAGAGACATACAAATATTCAAATCAAACTATGGGTTATCCGTATCAATAGCAAAACATCAGTAACTGAATGCTTAAATTAAAAAATCAATGTATTGATTTTATGACACACCTATAGTCGCACACAAGATTACAGTACCAAACAAGTCATAAAATGAAGAAATACTTCCCTTTTGGTGGAGTGTTTCTAAAAATTATGCATATTTTCCTAAGAATCCTTAAATGTTTGAATTCTACTTTTCCTTTGAAATAAATCATACGACTTGTAACTAAATAAAAGCCAAAGTCTTTACCATGTCCTACAAGGCCCTATGTGACATGACCCCTGGTTGTTTTTCAGTGGCCTCAGCTCCTATAAATTCCCTTGAGATCTCTCTGCTCCAGCCAGCCTGAACTCTTGTGATTCCTGAAATACACCAGGCACATTCTCATCCCAGAGCCTTCTCACCTGCTGGTGATTCTGGAAAGCTGTTCCTCCCAACCTTGTGTGCATTGCTCCCTGACTTCAACTACATCTCAATTACCTCTCATTATTGTTCATCTTATTCTCCTACTTTATTTTTCTTCACTCTCCCAGACGACATTTTATATAGCTATTTACCTGCTTTATTATGTCTCCCTTACAAGGTAGTAAATAAGCAAAAACATATACATATCACACCAGGGATTGAGTCAAAGAACACATAATACTGCAGTCAGATCCTGACAACCAGAGTTGACTATATGTTTAGTTTAATAGTAAAAAATAAACCACAAAAATTTCCTTTAATTTTCCAGGCTGTAATTTTCTATGATCTTTTGTTTATTGTACAGTAAATTTATTTGTACCTAAGGGAAGAGATGCAGTATTTTATCTCTGTATCACTGATTTCCTTTATTTCTAAAACTGGAAAAAAAGGATAAATGTATTTTCAATTGTACACATGCTTTAAAAAATATTGTAAAAATAAAAACTTAACAAATGAAGCACTAATTGGAAGTTAGTGAGATGTCCAGTTTGAATTAAGAAGGATTCAAAACAATAGACACATTTAAAAGAAATACTTGGCATTCTTCTATAGGTTATACAGTAAACATAGAAACTGGTAATATAATATTTCATATCAGGATATTAGAGCATCAGGATATTACTTTTTCTCTCACTGAAAAATATTTAGATGTCATAAGTGAATAAATGCATTTATTAAAATTCAACTGCTAATTATTTTAAGTAGAGATGTTTCCATTTGCAAAATTAACTTCTACTTCAAAATTAAAAGTAGGATTATATCTTTTACTAATTAGATCCATGTGTTTGAATGTTGCCCTTTCTATCAAAGTACTCACAATACTTACTATAATGCGAAAACTAAAAATTATTCTACTTTAGGTGTTATCAATTTAGATATGATTTACCTACATGATGTAGAGAAATGCAATTTCTATCTTAAGATAATTCTCTACCCCAAAATCCCTCCTCTCTTTACCAACAAAATACCATAGAACCTCAAATTCCAACTCAAGAATCACTTAGTAAATATAGACTTTTCCTCTGATTCTAAAGAAAGGAAGGTTTTACTTGATATATGCAGTGTTTCACTCCTGGAGTGCTGGAGGCCTTGAATACGGAGGAGTTTTAAGGGTTTTTTCAAGCTCTCTTCTGTACTATTACTCTTTCAGCACCAGGGTTAGCTCTTAAAGTTCTTCCCTGAGCTCTAACACCTCCTGCTTCATGTTCTGTTTCTTCTTCCGGAGGCAGTGGGTTTCTCTGCCCGTGTTCAGTCTTTCTTCATAGATACCGTCTAATAAAAAGGGAAAAACTGGCAAGAGAAGGACATCTTGCCACAGGGGAGGTAGGTGGGTGGTAGAGGGAGCTTAATATAAGTAGTGGTAAGCACTAAAATACCATCTAATACATAATTTCTGGTTATTCTCATTGGGAAATTTTGATAAAAAGGGACACTGGAGTTAAATATATTAGTAAGAAACGGCTTTCCAAATAAACAATGTATAATAATTTCAGACACTAATTATTTATGAGTTCAACCTTATTAGTATATCCAAATAAGATTAATATTTCCAATTTCTATTTATTCATATGAACAAATATTTATTGTGAACCTACTAATTACCATGTACTACTACTATTCCAGGGGTTACATAGTGAACAAAACCGGTAAAAAACCAGGTGTCATGGCACTAATGCACTAGTGTAAGAAGAGAGACGATGAAACAAAAAGAAAAATAAAGAAGTCACATAGTAATAGAAAAACAAAGCTAAGTAAGGTAAAAACTAGGTGGTGTAAGACACAGTGATATTTTAGAGTTATCAGAAGTGGTCTCTCTCCTGAAGAATGGGCAATAGCAAGCCAGGAACATTATTTTGGAGGATGATTCAGATAAAGGGAGTAACAAATGCAAATGCTCTGAGATGGGACGGTGGTTGGCTGATTCAATGTGCAGGAGAAAATCAGTGTGGGTGAAGTTGAGTGAGTAAGTAGGCTGTCTAAGTTATTCTTTTAAGAGTTGTTTTTCTATCCCAATACCAAAAGATGTGAAAAGGTTTTCACAGCAGTATAGTCATAAATACCTGCAATGCCACGTTCTATAAAACTAGAACCTAGCTCACATCCTACCTTGTTAGGTCACTTATAAAATGAGCTTAATGAACATCAGAACAATTTATCTTTACAGATAAATGTTTTCAGATTTTTGGGGTAGATACCCAGGAGAGGGATTGCTGGGTCACACGGTAATTCTATTCTTAATTTTTTTGAGGACCCTCCACACTGCCTTCCATGGTGGCTGCACCAATCTGCATTCCCACCAACAATGTTATTTACGATGGCCAAGACATGGAAACAACCAAGGTGTTCTTCGACAGATGATTGGATAAAGAAGATTTGGTATATATACACATGGAATACTATTCTGCCATAAGGAAAGATGAAATACTGCCATTTACAACATGGGTGGATCTTGAGATTATTATGCTATGCAAAATAAGTCAGACAGAAAAAGTCGAGAACCTTATGATCTTATTGATATGTGGTATATAAAACTGAAAGCAACAAAGAAACAAGAGAAACAAATGAAGAAACAAAAATTCATAGACAGAGACAATAGTTTAGTGGTTACCAGAGGGTAAGGAGTGAGGGGGGTGGTAGATGAGGGTATAAGGGATTAAATATATGGTGATGGAAAGAGAACTGACTCTGGGTGGTGAGCACAATGTGATATATAGATGATGTATTGCAGAACTGTACACCTGAAACCTGTGTAGCTTTACTAACAATTGTCACTCCAATAAACTTAAATTAAAAAATTTAAAAAAAACCCCCGAGGTTAGAAAACAAACACCAAAACTTAATTTCTTTTCAGGATGGTAAAATGAAAGGTAAATCTAAAACTTTACCAAATATGCCATGGCTTATCTTTGATGTTCTCTAAACACAGCAACTGAGACACTTTAATAGATGTCACTGCATCTCTAAGGTCCATTTTGTTTGCAAAGAATAAGATCGGTATTCGACGGTGCTTAATATCTGAAAGAGAAAATAAGACTATCATCACACTTCCAGCTCTTTGGTCATTTTCCCCCAAATCCTTAAAATTGAAATTCACAAAAATTGTTTTCCAATGACTTCTTTCTCTATTACACATACATAAATATTTAAAAACATATACTGTCCGCCATGTATTTGAGTGATATGAGAATTTAAAAAATACTTCTTCCAAATCTATCTGCCCTCTGGTTAGGACTTTAAAACAAAGACAAGTGAGGTGGAAATCGGGGGCTCATTAAGCAGTTACTGAGCAGCACCTACAGAAAGGTCAAATATTTTGTTTATTTCATTTTACTGTCAACAGAAAGGAGGCAAACTTCAGACAGAAGTAGAAAGAAGATAAACTGAATCCTGATTTTAAAATTTAGTCATAGTGTTATAAGTAACAAGCTAGATACTCTAACAAGATAATTTTACCTTGTTATAATTTTGGAAACATTTTTCACTGTTTTGAATAGACAATTCATTTAAATAGTTCAAAATTCAGAAGACAGAAAATGATATACAGTAAAAATATCTCCCTCTCACCTTTTTCCCAGGTCATCGACTTGTCCTCCCTAGAAGAGGCAACCCATATCATCCATTTCTTGGCATCTTTTTAGAAATATTACAGATATGCAAATATATTTATTATTCTTTATACAAATAGTAGCAGACTATTCTCACTATTTTATACCTTTTGCATTTCACTTAATTTCATATCCTGGAGGCTGTCCCATAGCAGTACATCTAGAACAGTTTCAATATTTTAACACTGTGACATGCTATTTTAGTAAGTACTATGTGCTATAAATTTATTTAATCAGGACTTAACAGATATATATGTGTGTTGTTGCCAATATTTACAACTATATACAATGCTGTAATGAATCAACTTGCACATAGGAAATTTTGTAAATTGGCCAGTACGCCTGCCAAGTAAATTTGAGAAGTGAAATTACAGGGTTAAAAGATATATAAATTGCTATGCTGATAGATATTGATTACCAACAGCTTTCCCTTACAAATTGTGTCAATTCACACTTAAACAATGATGTATAAGAATGAGTGTTTCCATTGATTGGTAAAAAGTACTATCACAGTGTTTACCTACATTGTTTTGAGAAAAGTTAAGAATCTATATATTCAAAAGATGTTTATAATTCCTTTTTAATGAACTATTTTAGCATATCATTTGCCATTTTTTTCTATTAAGTTTTATTTTCTCATCTATTTGTAGGAATACATTAAGTAGTAAGGAAATAAGCCTTGCAGCTATGTATGATATGAATCATACATAGCTGCCCTTGCTTGTCATTTGCCTTTGCTCATGGTCTGTTCTGTAATTCAAAACTTTTTTTTTTTAAGATTCTGGGTTTTTGTTATAGTTAGAAAAGCCTCCTCTTGTCCCAAAATTATTTTTTAAAATTCCCCATAATTTCTTCTACTGTTGTGATAGTGTAATTTTTATATTTAAATATTTAGCCCAGCTGGAATTTATC